GGGGGGGGGGGGGTATTAGCATGTCTTCAGTAAGGAAGAATTTTCTACGTTTGGTGGTATATACCACAATTAACCAAAAGAAAGAATGATAAGCCAAAAACGAAACAAAACAGAACAACACGCAAAAGAATATTTGCCAAAGTAAGGAAGGATGATAATCTAACGAATAATAATAAACTGTATCACCCACAACTCGCCAAATGGCGGCACTAAAAATTAAAGAGATAAATTTCCAATGAGCTGCACAATCGGTCTTACCGATGAGCAGACCTAGTGCGTTCTCTAGAGGTGGTATCCACTCTTTCAGGACCACCACAATGGGTGAGATACCGTTGGTCATGTTAATTTGGACGTCTAGTTTCTGCCACACTAGATGGCAGCACCAAGACTCTATTTGGATGCTAAAATTAAAGAGATACAGAAAAACAATTTTGTTATAAAAATTTTTATTAAAAATATTTTTATTCAAAAACAAATAATTAAGTAATTATTGTTGCATAACAATTAAAAAATTTTTTAATCAAACAAGAATTGTAATCGTCTTGTTTGCTGTCCAAATCTGTTGATAACTTTTTCAATGAATTCTGAGTCATCTTTGATTCTTTTCTTATGCACACTGAGCATGCACAAACTTGGCAGATATCTGAGCTATATTTTTAAATTCCATTTAATAAAATATAAATGATATTATATTTTCTATTAGTTATTTAGTTTAACAAAGGTGTATAACACAAACTGACTTCTCACAACTGCAAAACTTCATCAACACAATTAACCAAAAGAAAGAATAAGCTAAAAACGAAACAAAACATAACAACAAGCAAAAGAATATTTACCAAAGTAAAGAAGGATAATAATCTAGCGAATAATAATAATCTGTATCACCCACAACTCGCCAAATGGCGGCAATAAAAATTAGTTTGATTTCTGAGAGAAATTTGTTTTCACGAAAGATAAAAATAATTTCTTTTGATAAATTTCGTAAGTGCTACAACTAATTTTAAGTTATGTTTCATGAGGAATTAAGAGTATAATTCCCATCAAAATCTTGACACGAATTCAGAGGGGGGTTCTATACATATTTGGAAATTTTTTTTAAACGCGAAAGGAATTGTAAAATTCATTTAATGTTAAGATTAGTTGTTATCATTTAAGTGGTAAATATTAGAAACTTATGTATTTATGTTCCCTCCCCACTGATTTTTAGGCTACATTTTTGTGGAATCTCCTGTCACCATAAAGTGTTGGATTTACATACAGTTCCTGGCCAAATTATTCGACGCACTATAAGATTCTATGTAAAATCTTAATTATTAGGTGATAATTGTTTTCACGCTACTGAAACCGGTTTGCGCTTGTTTATGTTCCTGTATCAATTGGTCAAATTAGACGATTTATAATATAAATTCAACAATTGGATAAATAAGACGATATATTATATAAATATAGAATATTTATTATATCAGGTATTATATTAGTATATTCCAATAATTACACCAAATTATTACATGTTTTGCGCGAGTTTATATGCAATACTTTAATATTTAACTATACATGTAATGGGTTTTTATTCAGGAGATTTTTTATATGCTTCCCTTTTGTATTTATTTTTAACGTATTGCGTTACAATGTTGACCAATTGATACACGAACCAGATACAAACTGGTTTCAGTCGCGTAAATACAGTAAAGCTGTGTAGTATCACCTGATAATTAAGATTTTACATAGAATCTTGTAGTACATCGACATCACATTAATCTGTATTAGCAACAGCTCGCTAGATGGCAGCACTAAATTTAATTTTGATTTCTGAGAGAAATTTGCTTTCACAAAAGATAAAAATAATTCCTTTTGATGGATTTCGAAAGTTGTACAACCAATTTTAAACTGTTTCTAAATAAAGAGTATAATTTCTATCAAAATCTTGACACTAATTCAAAGGGGAGTCTCATACATATATGGATTTTTTTTTAAACATGAATATATTGTTTTTTTCTTATTTATTTTTTATAACTCTTCACAATACAAAGTAAACAAAAAATATTCACATGTCTTCCCGAAGAACCATTAGAAAAAAAGCTAAAAATATAGATTAAAAAAGCATTGATATATTTTTAATCTTGATATAACTGAAAATATCAGACTTTAAGACTAAGATTTCTTATCTATTTTAAATTAAAATGCTTATACTTTCTTTTCAATATTTTCGGATATTAGGGCTGAAAAAAAGTTTTTTTTAATGCAATTGCAACAGTTTTCTATTTTATTGTTTTTTTAAAATTTCACAGAGAAAAATCTCAAAGCATATACTGAATGCAAACAAATTTAAAATAACTCAAAGTTGTACACTAACTTCTTTAAATAAGAGCCTTTTTTGTCATACCTTTAACATAAACAGGGTAATATTTAAATAAAAAATTAAAGTTTTTACAGACATATTTCTATTTCTCAAATAATTGAAATTTTTCAAAAATAATAAAAAATTCCAGATAGAGTTTTTTAAAAAAAGTCTTACTTAAATCTGGTTATAATTTTATTATGATTCCACTATACAGAGCATGTTCAATTCAGGACACGTGTTTAACGATAAAATGTCTCTATATGTGGTTTTCAAAAATTAAGGATAACCGTTGTAAATTTAAAATATATAACTAAGCGTTTCACGTACGTTTCAGCTTAGCACAAATAGCTCTAAAAATTAGATAATGATTTAAATAAACTATAAATCTAAGATATCTGAAAATTAATTTATTTAGGATGTCAGAGAAAAGTATCCGAAAGTGCATGACAACTACGCTCAAAGATTTTTTTTTCTTCTTTTTTTATTTCCAATGGCCAGAGTTTCAGAAAGACCTCTACACCACAAAAGGGGAGAAACAAATGAGAATATAAATAAAAGAAAAACATAACAGACGTGACGAGAAAAGTCTCTGAACTCAATAAGTCCCTTGCGAACCAGTACTGGTGTGGTCTGGATACCTTCTCTTCCTGAAGGTCACAGAGAATGCACAAAGGAGCTTGTGCAACATGAATTCGATGAAGATGTTTAAGGAGGCAGTCTTGGCCAGTGGCCAGTCGAAACTAGTAGTATACTCACCAGTAACCAGCATTTCAACTCTATGGTCGAAACTCGACGACTGCTTTGCGTCTTGGCCGCATAGGGAGATCTTGAACTGTTCCTAATAGGGAACCCTAACAAAAAATAAGGTGTTTTTGGATTGTTTTGAGGTTGACAAGTGAACAAAAGAACACACCTGAAGTATAAAATGAGGTTATGTTTTGCACCAAAAATAACTTCATCAATAAACCTCATTTACATCTCATATTCAACCTCATGTATAGCTATAGTTTTAGTTAAGTTATACTTTTAGTTGAAATCGGGGGAAATTATTCTCACATCATATATATTTATTTGCTTAAAGTGTAGAAAAGCTAGCATGTACCGCTCAGAAACAACCACTCTTAGATGGTTGTTACTGAGGTAGATTTCTATCAACCTCAAATAACCTCAAGTGTGAATAAAACAACTTCATACTCCTTGATTATGAACCTCGGGAAGTTGATTTCGCATGGATGTTTTTGAAGTCAATTTAGGAAAAAAAAGCTCAAGTTAATCTTAGCACCTCAAAATAACCTCAAAAACACTTGACATTTTTGTAAGGGAAGTGCCCATAATGGGGTATGGCAACATTTCCGGGCATGGATTCCTAAGCAGTTTTAACTCTGACGATGAGCCATAACTCCCTTAGAAGTTTGTCGCAACGTTTATGCAACCCCCTGTTGTATACTATAACGTTTTTAAACTTGTACATT